CTCCAGAGGCAAAAAGAGAAGGCCAAACACCAAAACCCCAAAACCCCAAAACCCCATATGTAATTCTTGTCAAAATCAAGTAATGAATATAATTGAGAATTATACTTGAACTATTAATTTATATTAAATACATAAATGTCATCAGCAGCATCATGGAGAAATGCCATCCCTAGGCGTATGTATAGAGAAAGAAGGTAACTGAAGTCCAGAGAGCATCTAGGACTATTGGAAAAGAAACGTGATTATAAAAGAAGAGCTAAAGATTATCAACACAAGACAAATGTTATTAGTACGCAAAAATTGAATATTTTTTATCTATTCTATAGAGAAATTGGCAGAAAAAGCATTATAAAGAAACCCTGATGAGTTTTATCATAAAATGATTAATGCATAAGTCAAGGTAAACATTTTTATTTTTGAATTAACAAAGCTACTAGGATGGAGAACACTAAGTCATAATGAAGGATAATAAAGAATAAATAAAGAGAAGAAAGCTTGATGAAAATAAGGACATTTCCTTAGTAAATCTCAAGAGAATGGTTGAAAAAAATAAATCTGAAAAAATATAGAATAATTTGCATATGATCGATTTCCCAAAGCAGAATCAGCACATATTCTTCGTATCAGATCTTAATGAGATTAAACAAAAATAAAGTGATTACACTATGAAATAGAATGAAGCTGATAATGATTTTGAGGATGATGAAGACGATAATATAAATGATGATGGAGAAGAAATAAAGCAGTAAAAACCTAAGTAAAAGTATCTAGGTGAGAAGCAGAAATATATTGAACAGCTATAGCGCAACTAAAGTTAAAATAAAAACTAATATAAGAAGCTAGCAGACGCTTTGACCAAAGAATAGCAACTAAACAGAGTATAAGAAGCCTTAATTTTAGACAAGCATATCAAGGATAAAGGTAAAAAGAGAAAGATTGAAGATAAAGAGACTGGGAGAACTTCTTTTAAATGGTTTAGTGAGAGAAAGAGATGAAGATTCGTTGCATGAAATATCTCTTTATGATCTTTGTTCTATTGACTGAGATATATTGAGATATATTGAATCTCAAAATTTAATTAAACTTATAAGGTAATTTAATTTCTTAAATTGAAAATAATTGAATTTTATAAACAAGCCTAATTAAACATCAATCATTCATTTCACCACACTATGGATACATTCAGCCTTCACAATTAGATAAACGTTTCTTGGATTCAAGGAAAATACTGCAACCTATACACAATCTAGATGAGGCTTAATAGATTACGTTTGACATGATTAGTACCTTGCCTCTTCTGATTTGCTTTGAAAAATACTCTTTGCAATCTGAATGAAATGTCGCATCTATCTAATCGCCTATTATATCCTAGGAAAATTCAATTTAAATGCTTGAAACTTACTTAAAGCTTTACTTGATAGCAATTACCTATCATCTCAACATTCACAACCTCAAAGACCACATTTTTTATCTTTTGAGTTCTGTAGTCACCCCTTTTGATGCATTTCACGGATGAAATATTGAAAGGCTCAATAGTTGCTTAAATTTTCTCTCTTCCAAGCTCTTTCAGAATAGAAGGAGGCTGACCTAAGGATGTCAAAGCTTTTTGCCACATATCATCTCTTCTTTTCTCAAGCAGGAATTACTAAAGTTTCATCTTCTCCATCTACCTCGACAGTTCATTAGTATTCTGATTGCTTTTATTCTTTTTCTCACTTGAAATTTAATTTCTATGATTTGAGTGCTGATTATCTCTTTCATTGCTAATTCTTCTCTAGGCTAAGTTATTAATTCCAAACTTTGCTTATTATTATTAACCTATCACATCAGTTTATTGATTGATCTATTTCTGGCCAAGTGACTATTTTGAAGTAGACTAAGCTCATATAAGCTTACATTGATATTTATTGGAGAAATATGAGAAAAGTCTATAGATTGATTAGCCTTCTGTTTCCCTTGTGCTTAGTATTGCTAACTAATGCTGATCAAAGGAGAATGGTTATCAATATAGACATTTTTATCACTCTCAAATGATTTGGGAGTATGCTAATGCTAGTCTAATCCAAACTTGAATTTATTCATTAAGTTTGATCCACTCCCACCTCCATTCGAGGTTGAAACTATATGAGAAGTATTTCTCTATTAGACTTAGTCTTTTAAGTAATCTCCCTAAAGAATTTTTAAGAAAAATTCGATTACATATTCATTACTTCCTGTGTTTCCTCCATGTTAAAATGAGTTAGCATTTTTTCCATTAAATCCATTCATTTAAAATTTTGATTTTTAACTTCAGTATAATTCTGTTATTTGATTAAAGATATGTAATAAGTTTTTATTTATGCTTATATATAAATATTACTTTTAAAATTCTGCTTTAAAAGCCACTCGGGGTTTTGGGGTTTTGGGGTTTTGGGGT